ACTTATCAGATGGTAGTTGTGTAATCACATACGATTTCCCGAAATTACTCCGCAAAACGACCCCACGATAAGTTCTGCTTATCAGGCTCCGATTCCCCGTTGTCGTTGTTACAAACGCGACAGCTTGGTAAGGCTGCAGCAAACAAGATAAGAAGGAGTCCATTGCAGTTCGTGAAGCTTGACTGGTGCGGAACTATCTAATATAGCGTACTAACACTCATATTATCTGCTATTCCCAGGCATCATCTATCTGTTGCGACCAATATACGCCCTAGTCCCGTTATCTCTGCAACGAGGGCCCTCGTTATTGGGGGCCATTTGGTCTAGCGGTCTGAGAGACATCATCTTGCCCTGCGCTGCGGCTGAACGTGGGACTCCACAATATGGGTTTCAGGGGTTAAACTATATTCCCCCACACAAGCCGCTAATGTGGATGATGATCAATGGCATTGCTCCAAACACGGGCTTGAGTTGCAAACCCTGGCAGCCATATGTTTGTTGGTGACCTTATTTGCGCGGCTGTATTATTTCAGTTGCTGCAACCACGGGGCAATAATGGTTCCGAGCTTACATTGGAGTATCTGTAAAAAATCTCACCTGGAAGGACAGTAGAAGCTGGCGAAGTCAGGTAGAAAAAGGAGAGCAATGCCCCAGAAAATCTCCATCTCCATCCTCGCTTAAGCACCATCCCAAGCTACACTCTGCTTCCTTCACATTTTTCACAATGAAGTTCTCTGCCGTTATTGCGTTGCTCCTTCCCCTCTCCGGCGTCCTCGCTTCGCCAGTCGCAGACTCTGGCCCTGTTGGCATCGGAAGAGACGAACATGCCACAGGAACTGAGCCCTTGAGCGTCGATCAGAGCGAAGTTGATTTGGTGGGTCGTGACCTCTTTGCACGCTCCACTAGGAAATGCAAGATCGTCAACGTCTCGAACCGCGCCTTCTGCCGCAGTGGACCTGGCACCAACTATCCGATCAAGTACTCGGTGTACAAGGGCCAGGAGTACAAGTTTGATTGCTACAAGAAGGGAACTTGTCATGAAGGCAACTGGTGAGTTACTATTAACCTGTCGACAACGGTATGACGTGTCTGATGGTCGTGGTCTTGTAGCACTTGGGACCGCCTCCCGCATGCTGAAGGGTATTGCTACGTGTCTGGCGCCTACACCGACGGCCGATGCACTAAAGGTTCGTATATTCTCTTACACGCTGCTGGTAACGTGTGTTCATCGCTGATCTTCTACCATGATAGCCGCTCTCGGAAAGTGTTAGGTTGTTACTCCACTTAACCATTCGCCGCAGTTAAAGCACATCACAGGCTACTTCGTCTGAGGGAGGGCCCACGATGCCAACATCTTTGTTTCGACTAGCGTTGAAAGCGGCCACCAGTGGCAGCCATTAGACAACAAACTTACTTGAATAGAAATACAAGTGCTGATATCACGCGATGAAGAATGCTGTGTTTTCCTGGATAGCCTAACTACCACTGGCCTTCAGCTACAATGATAGATTTACTGACGCACTATCAAACCGAAAAAGTTGCTTCTCCATGAGCCTAGCCTCATCTTTCGCATCCATGAGTTGAAGGGCTGATATAATGAGGGCGGCACTATTGGCTGAGAGGATCACTTCATTAAATTTGAGAGAGTGTATCAATCCACAATACCCAGAATTCTTATAGTTAGCCAAGTATACTGACGTAGTAACACAGACTCATTGCTGTGTTGGCGGCCTTTGTTTGGCAATGTTGGATTTGTCTTTGATACTCTGGTCCTCGCGGTAGAAAGTGCCGACTGATCGTTCGTCCATTGGTCGCAGCTTTCTGAACGGATTTAAAGAAGACATGGGCAGCTGTCCTAGAATACGCTACGGTACTCTAAGTAGATAATTGAAGCCCCACCTGGCGGACAATCTTATTGGACAACCGGAGGGTATCGACAGGTTTCATCTGTTGTCTATGCATGACCTTTACATCAGCCAGTGTCGCTCTTTCAACTGATGAAAACTCCTAGAGCGCGTGTTTTCATATGCATTCTTGTCCTCTATATCCTCTATTCATTTATACAATTCATCTTTGCCACTTATGAATGTGAATATATCCCCCTCTATAATCAATTTCTCGCTCTGCACCGTGCTAAATGCTGCCACTCTCCAATCCCCTTTCTGCCCTAGCTGGCCATCCCGTGTCAACGTGTCTCATTCCACAACGCCTGGTTGTCACTTAAAGTGGCCGTTACACTTGCTGTTGCTCTACCAACGCTGGACACTCCATTTTACAGCTCCAGCCACCTCTCCAACCGATCCATCCTGTTTCATGTGGTCCACGGACAACTGCAAGCACTAAAGCGACGCCCAAGAAGGCAATGCTCGCTCCGCTGCTATAGCGCCACCCTTCTTGTGCATATAGGTGGTTCCCGACGGCAGTACCCATTCGCATACCGCAGAATGTAGCAACAGTGTATACCGTGTTTACGCGATTTCTGGCTGAGGCTCGGCGGCGGGGAGTTGCGCGCGGTTAGCTGTCTGGGACACGACCAAGCAGAGATCCACAAGGAGACCTTGGATGATAGGACCTGCAAGGAAGAAGGTTCCAACGAAGTTGCCTATCAGAACGCCGGCTATGCCAATCATAATGGCGATGATTGCACTGTACGCCGGGTGGTAGCGGTCGGTGATGAAGCTTGAGAGGACAGGATGATGAGAAACGGCAGCATTCCAACGAGGGCGAAAAGTCCGATTGCCAATGTGGATAAATTGAAGATGGACGATGATAGCAAGAAGGTGAGAACGGTCCAGTACGAGACAACTGCGGCGCCAACGAAGAAAGCCATCATGCTCGTTTGCACGAGAAGTGGTTGTCGTAAGGGAATCATAACGATGGTATAAATAATCTTGAAATAGGTGATGTGGCCAGACGAGTGGACCGGAGGGTAATCGGGGAGGAATAAAAAGAGCATGATCAGCATAAGATACTGTAGGCCGAAGGAGATCCAATACACGATTCGCCAACTTTCGTACTGGGTGACAACCCCAGAGATAATCCGTGCGAGGAGTATACTCATGAAGAGGCCGCCGGAAACAATTGAAATCATGGTCGCACGACGAAAAAAAGGGGCGAGTTGGGCCAGAAGCAGCAGTATGACTTGAGGAGTTACGGTAGTCAGGGCTACCAGAAAGTACAAGGCATGGAATGTGCTAAACGATGTTGTGATATACAGGCCAAGCCACTTTGAAATGTTAGGGATTCTTTTACGGGCGGGGAACTAGTCACTTACCATGTTCACCGTCACAAAAACGAGCAACAATACGAAGGGTCGGAGATGTACGATGTCTCTCACGGGGCAGAGTAACAAGCCGTGGCATAGCCAGCCTGCATCAGTGTAGGGATTTGACTAGCTTTCTCTAGGCCAATATCGAAGTCTTCAGCCAAAATATTAAGGATTGGATGGTTGTAGTATAACTTTCCAACGGTGAACGCTCCTGACTGTGAATCGTCAGTCTAGAGACAAAGATCAATAATATCTTAGAGAGGCTTTACAAAGGCAAAAAGGAGACGTAAGCCCCAGCTGAGCGGTGTGGGATGTTTGCTGTCCCATCGACACTGGCGCGGACAATAATCGAGTGTCTTGAGGAGCAACCAGAACTTGCCGTGTGCGCTGAGGGTCAGATTTGAGCTTTGAACGTTACCCGAGTCAACTTGTCCGTGAAAGGCTTCAGGTCCTGGTGGCACAGCATCCAAGGGAGTTAAGTCGTCCATCTTCTCCAGCATCCCTCCGGCGGATAGCGAAATGGGCCCGAAATAAGCATAACCAAAGTCCGAATATAACACCTATGCTGGTCAATCCAGCTACCTAGCAATAAGCGAGTAGTCTAAGCGAAAAGGCAGAACTCTTCAGAAAGATATTCTTCCCTTCACCTCCTGACATAGATCTTAGCGATATAGAGGATACTAGCTTCCCTGTTCCCATCACCATGCCAACGATAACGACAAGGGAAGTAGAAGAGGCTATCGAAGAATCAGCCCAACTTAAGGCTCTAGGGCTAGATGGAAACACAAACAGAGCACTCTAAATCGCTTCACCCTGGATCAGGGATCATCTCAACAAGATCTTCAACCAGTCCCTTACCCTAAGCTATTACCCCACACTTTCGGCAATGAGGCCGTGAAGATCATGCCTACCCTGTGACACCATCTCAACCTTTATTTTTCATGCAAACCACGACAGGCAAGATGTAAGCAACACAGCCGCCTAACGACCGGAGCAGCTTTCGGGTTGCGATAGTATGTGCTCTGCCCCGTGAGGCTGATGCCGTCACCTTGCTCTTCGATCAATTTTGGGACGAGGCGAACGATCCTTACGGCCGAACAGATGGAGATACGAATATGTACATCACCGGGCGTATTGGAAAACACAAGGTTATTTTATCTGTCCTCCCCAGTATGGGTACAAACAACGTAGCGGCGGCAACAGCCACCATGCGAACAAGCTACGTTGGCCTGAGACTTGTGCTGATTGTCGGCGTCTACAGTGGCTTACGCCGCATCGCCAACATGGATGTATTTCTTGGCGATGTTGTAGTGAGTAAATCTGTTATCCAATCTGACTACGGCAGGCAATATCCTATGATTTAGTTGAGTTAAAGGCGATTAAGTCTCTTCCAAGTGGATATAACTAAAACTTTAGTTTTTAAGGTTAAAATTAGCTTAAAAAAATAAGTAATTATAAATATGATAGCTATATAACTCATGATAAGTGATTTACTATCAGCAATAATTACGAGAGTATAAAACAATTTAATTAACCCACGTTTGGCGTGTAATAATGCCGTCTTGTCTGGTTCAACCTACAGAGCTTGACTATAGTGACGATCTACTAACGAAACACTTGAAGACTCGACAGGTATCAATTCATATACAACAGGATCTCAGCCATCAAGCCATGAATGTCAGTTTAGAACGCGGTAAAATGGTCACCATATGCCGGCGACACAGGAATCAATTTAAAAGACGATATTATGGAAAGGCTGAATCGATACTGTGGACTTGATTTTGCCACAGTTGACCTTGGCGCTCCACCCAGATTGGTACGTTTATCAGCAAGAGCAATTTGATTGCCTTGTTTTGCGGTCACCAGGAAAGCAACCAAAGCGCAATTAAAATGACACAAACCTCATGGACACGGTATACATATCAGTGCGGCAGAGGAGTTAAGAGACAGATTTAATTTTACGAGAAAGTGGGTCGATGGTGGACATTGCGACACTAAGCAAAGCGCTGGCATTTACAACCAAGTAGGTAACTAAATGACTTAGTTTGTAATAACTAGTAATACAACTATACGAGTGTTAATTACTAGACCTTAAATCTGCCTTCGATCGAGCGCATAACCTGTACGAACAAGCCCGTCGTGGACATAACACCTCGTCACATACCGTGGGCCAAACGGACCAACCTACCTCCAGGTCTCTACTTTGTCACATCTTTGGGTAGATGTCTTTCCGATCACGCCTCTGCAAGCTATGCTCTTTCTTCAGGCAACACGCTCAAGAAACTGCCGAGGGGGCTTACAAGTTGGTCGGAATCTGCAGCAGCGAGACGAGTCTTTTCGAGCCTCTGAGAAAGAACATGAGGGGTCGGTGGGTCAGACCACCGTGGGGTGACATGGAATACAGTGTCTTTCTGGCAGTCGTACCGGAGTTGCATGGTGTACCCAGAACTGGAGTCCCTCTGTGATGGTTGGAGACGGAGCTGCCCAAGAAGGGTTCCATCTATCGACTAACCCAGGACGTCGATGGTGAAGACGGCCGGCGGCTCATCCTTCCAGAGCGACTGGGTCCAAAGGCGGACATGGAAGAAATCGTCGGTTACTGGCAATACACTTGCGAGGTATCTCAAGGTTCACACTGCTCACCCAAGAAGCCACTGGGTGCCACGCTCCGAGGGTTCAGGGTCATTAACTGCGATAAGAAACCTCTATCCCCTGAACCAGTACCGTCGAGTGAAAAATATACCGCACTGAGCTATCTTTAGGGACTTCAAATACGGTCATGACTTCCAGCAGCATCTCAATCAACTATAATCTCCAAGTATGATCTCTGCGTTAGGTGTTGCCTCTAGAGCGGTAAATGACGCACCTTCTACACTGTACCTAGACCGGATTTAACGTCGTCACACGATGTCATGTCTACAATACTTACACAATGCATTACTGGTGTAAAAATTGCAACACACCATCATTAGTGGGTTTCCTGTTCTGGTCCTGCCCCGGAAAGGGAGCACATCATGATTGGCGCGGAAAACCTGAAGTGGGACAGGTACCTCCAAGAGTCAAAGGGCCACAGAAACCGTGAGGAGAAACGTATGGGGTATTATACCGGTTAAATAGAACAAACAGATCTCATTACGGAGTCAGTCATGTTCGTCCTTGTGGGAGATCCCCCACATATATAACCATTGGTACCTAACAGGGCATTGTTCCTCGTTTCTCCCGGCTCACTCTTATTGGATTTGTCTCCGATTGAAACCTAATCTCTGTCTACCAATGCGATCGTACGTATCTTCATTGCTGGTAGCTGGTCTAATGTCCGGTCTCGGTGCCGCGACATCGGCCAGAATGCCCTTTGACACAAGACAGGAGGCAGCATTCAACAATCCGGTCCTATTCCAGGATCTTCCAGACATAGACGTTTTCCGCGTTGGCTCTGTCTACTACTACTCGACATCTACCTTCGCCTTCTCTCCTGGGGCCCCTGTCCTGAAATCTTACGACTTGGTCAATTGGACACCCGTAACGCACAGCGTTCCCGACGTTGCGGATTTTGGAGAAGAATACAGACTCAATGACGACAATGACCGCGCCTATGTCAAAGGTATTTGGGCGAGCTCAATGAGGTATCGCGAGTCTAACGACAAGTTCTACTGGATGGGCTGCATTCAGTCCACTGGCAAGACCTTCCTCTATACGGCTCCAGGTAATGGTGCCGCCGACAACGACGGTGAGAATGACAATTGGGAGTGGACTCTTGAAGGTACCATTGACCAGTGCTTCTACGATAATGGAATCTTCTTCGATGATGATGATACCATGTACGTAACATGGGGCAATCGACAGCTCCGCGTTACTCAACTTTCCGACGATGGCTTGAGCGTCGTGCGTACCGAGACGATTTATGATAGTGGCGATGATTTGTATCTCGAAGGCGCCCATTTCTACAAAACCCGAGGCTATTACTGGGTATGTCCTACGAAAGTTGCCAGCGGCCAATACATCCTCCGCTCAACTGAGCCGTTCGGCACATACGAGGTCCGGGAGTTCTGGGATAACCTTTCTGGGCCACTCTCCAACGCCGGCTATGCTCACCAAGGCGGCATGGTGGACACTCCTGAAGGCGACTGGCATTACCTCGCCTTCATGGATGCTTATCCCGCCGGCCGCATTCCTGTTCTTGCCCCCATCACATGGTCTGACGATGACTGGCCATCAATTGTACTCGATGGCAATGGCGGCTGGGGCGTGGCCTATCCAATGCCCGTCAAGACAAACAAGACTGTTCCCGGTGTCGAACGTCTTGATGACTTTTCCGCCCCAACCTTGCATCCAGAGTGGGAGTGGAATCACAGCCCTGACTCGGAGTACTTCGAACTCAGAACAGACGGCTTGATTCTTAAGACTGCCTCTGTCGTTGGGGATCTCTTTAATGCACGAAACACTCTTACTCATCGCATCACAGGCCCGCGATCTGTAGCGACCTGGCACCTCAATATCACCGGTCTCACCCAAGGTGATCGCGCCGGTGCAGCCATATTCCGCGACGAATCCGCATATATAGGCGTGCACAAGGATACAAATGGCACCCAGATCGTCTTTGTGAACGAGATCAATATGAACCAGCAGTGGCAGACTGTCAGCAGAGGCACAGTCGCAGCAACAGGACCCTCCATAGACGCGCACGAGATCTGGCTTCGTGTTGATGCTGATGTGACCCCTGCTTTCGGTCTGTCTCCTGTGAGGGAAGCACATTTCTACTATAGCCTTGACGAAGAGAACTGGAAGCAGCTCGGCACATTTGTACTCCACAACAAGTGGCAGTGGTTCACGGGCTTCCGTTTCGCAGTGTTCAACTTTGCGACTGCTGAGTTGGGTGGTCAAATAACTGTTAAAAGCTTTAAAAATGCATTAACTTAAATAGTTCTTAATAACAATGAAAGCTATTTAAGTAACTGTACTTCCCTTAATACTTATAGCTTATAAGTATATATTTCAAGGTCTAATCTTTATAACCAAATTGACTTTGAGAATCGACCTGGAATATCACTAAATTGCGGCAAGTGCTCGAACATTCCCATCCAATTACCACCTTTAAGACTTAGCAGGACTCAGGAGAATAGGAAAAAGATAGTATGGCATTGGAAACCAGATTATTTTGACTCAGCGAGACCTGCTTGACCGTTAAGACATAGCTTCACCATGATACCGGAACTTTACCTATTGTAAAACGAGTCAGGCCTTGAATTATCAAGGAATTTGCAATCATACTATTGCACAAAGACGCCCGAAAAAGTAAAAGCACCTTGTTTGGTAAACTGAGACGTTAAGAGTAATTATACAACTGACTGCAGGTGAGAGCGAGACCTGTCGTTGTCCAGTGATAGGTTGAGGTAATGCAGCTCCTGCTTCAATTTGAAAAAACATCATCACCGTCCTTTATTTTCCTTCAGTTTAAATAAGCGACATATCATATCTTGGTCCAATTCTAGATACGCGGCAATATGATAGTGTGGCGGTCAAAGACAGCGCTCGCAACTCCCGACGTTCTACGACAGGGTTTCATTCAAATGGGTCCATTATCCATTAGTAGTCCTTCTCCAAGGGCCTTCAAATGCTTTACTATTGTGCCTCGCCTAGCGCTCTTTGCTAGTTCTCCAACTGATTAAGCTGTAGTTATCTCTTGAAGACGCTCTCAATTCTCTCCACCCTACACCCTGCGGTTTCCGAGGGCAATACGAACTCGCCGCCCCAACTTAACCTCCTTTGAGTATCTTGTTGCAACTGACTACCCTAAGAGTTTATTTCCTAGTGCTGAGTTACGGGATATACTGAAATATGTAAGAAATCATCGATGGAATATTATAAAATGGAAGTAGTTGGGGTCTTTCGGGTTAATCTTATAGTAGTCTTGGATAGATACATATGCAGTTGTCTTCTTGACCTCGTGGAATTTGTTGCAGTTTGTGACTATTACTGCTTGGATTAGTGATAGTGTTTTGATACTGTTACTAGAAGTGGTAGGGGATGGCTTCGGAGGGCTCTAGCCAATAATTGAGACGCAGACCCAGTAATCGGCTAGGAGAGATTAACAGTTGGTGCCCATGCTAGGGTTCTAAGAGTAAAAGTCTGTTAAAGGCAGGTTATAGTAGTTATTAATTAAGGAACATGTTATTGTCTTTTGTACCTGGTGAAATTTGTTGCAATTCTTGTGTATACCATCCTAGATTGGCGACGGGGTCTTAATCCCGTTGCTTGATGATGTCGGCGACCTCGTAGGCTTGTAGTCGTCTGTCGTGACGCAAACCCAATATTCTGCTAACAGAGACAAATAGTCTTTGCCAACATCAGGGTTCTACTCAAGGAACTTAGCTAGGGGCAACTTATAATAATTCTTAATCGAGTTTCAAGCTGTTGTTGTTTTTATAAGATGAAATTTGATTTAGTTTTTAACTATGCCTCCCTGAATAGGAGACGGAGTCTCGATTCCATGGGTAGGCATAGGCTTGGTTAGTGATGGTGTATATCTAATAACTAATACGCAGATCCAGATATTAGCCCAGAGGCCTTTATATTCTGTATTAACAGATGGGTTTTATTTGTAGATATATGCAGCAGTGATTTAGTTGGCTTTGGCGAGAGCGTCACAGTTTTGTCCCTTTTGAACGAAATCGAAATTGTTGTAGTCCTTGACTATATCTGGTTGTGCTGGTGATGGTGTCTCGACGCCATTGGTAGGACTTGTCTTCGAGGTAGTTGTAGTGGTTGGCTTCAGAGTAGTACCTCCCTTATCATGTCCTATGATACTAACATAGACCCAGATACTGGACTACAAACCGCTGCAGTTATCCTTGACGGAAGGGTCCCAAGCCGCGAGTTGCTTTAGCGTGATGCCGTTCTTGGAAAGGACGTTGGAATACGACATACCCTTCTCCATAAAGTCAAACGCATCTCGGTTGTTTACTATGTCTGGTTGCGTTGGGTGGGGTGTCTGGATGGATGCCCTTGGTAGGACTGCTTCCACTAGGTGTTGTCTTAGTTGGGCCGATTGTGACGACTGGCTCGTTAATAGTCTTGCCACAGTAAGACCAGCCACTGAGGAAGTTGCTATACCCAGGGCTAACCCCAGGGTTCTGAGATATCAGCATTGTAGCCGTGAAAAGAGTTGCATTAATATGCTCAACAAAGTAATTCGTCCATAGTAATCAGGTACGGTTCGAGTATGTCTTGGTAAGGGATTAAGCTATTATTGTTGAAGTATCTTGATGCGTTGGATACTTGGGCGATAGGCCCATCAGCTTGATCGGCTGTTCCTTAGGGGCGGTTTTATTCTTGAACTGGCGAGGGATTATTTTTGCAGTATCTTGGGCCATAAAGAAAAGTGAAATAACAGCCAAAGGGCCTAGAGCCCAATTCAGCTTGGCCATGATGAAGTGAGTAACTAAGGAACTGGATTAATGATAGATAGTTAAATGCTTCTATGGCAGTAGAAAAGATATGACTATTATAGTTACGCTGGTGTATATCTTGTGCCGGCATCAGGTTATGACCTGATATATCTTTCTATTGATCCAAGTACTACTACATTGTTTGTCCTTCCTAGATAAACTTAGTGTTGCTTCCCATCTGGCTATGCCTTTTAGCCGCAGTACGGTATGTCGCAGATCCGTGTCTTTAGCACATGGCAATGGAAAATTTCTTTACAGCCGAATGGTAACCTGTGTTGGTTCTGAAAACATTCTGCTTCCTTCAATGTGACACTACGGCACGCTTGCAGAGGAAACTGCAGGGACCAAGCAAGGGTTTAAAGGTAACATCGCTTATTAGAGGAATTAATTATCCGGAGTGTGGACCCAACCGAAGAATTCCGTACCACTTTGTGTAAACAAGTTGGACAAAGAATATTAAAGATCTAGATACGGCTTAGCCCACTGGTCCGTTCGGTGCATCAGGGTTCCAGTCTTCCGGGCCTTCCTCATCTTCTCTGTACAGCTTCCAATTCCGCGACACAGGTCCGCCGTGCCGAACAAAGCCTTCCGGTGTTTGTTCCACCAAACTTGCTGTGTTCTGATAGCCCTCGCGTTCCTCAGCACTAATAAGACACTGTCCAGCTAACTTTTCATTACGTATCAGCATAGGCTGCTTTTTGGGGTACGTTTTGGACCACTCTGCGTATTCGAATATGCCATAGTCTGGCATCAATGCTTTGCCGCAAGTCCAAGCTGTAGGTAATCTTGCGCCTGTAGTTAGCGTTCTCCATGGCCGCCCCCCAGCTATACCGATATAGTCTCTTTTATCCAGGACTACAAATGCCTCCCCGTTTCTTATCCGGATATAGTAAGCCGGAGTGTGATTGAGGCCCGCCAGCCATGTCACTGGGAGTGCCCATGTTTTGGTGTCACGGGCCTGTTTTCCTACGTTGCAGTGCAGGAAAGTCCGATATATAGACTTGTTAGACTCGCCACCTGATGGCAAGACTCCCAAAACTGTAATCCTGGCGGGGGATGATGTCTCCGGGAGCGTGGCTACCTGCTGTAACCCATGGATCAACGAGTGCCAGGTTGATAAAGGCCGAGGCTGATGCAAATCTGCCCACTCATTATTTTCAATGCAAAACAAGTGGAGACTCCGTAGGTGCGGTAGGCTGATGGGATGGAAGACCTTGTCTTTGTCCCACGTGCCTAGCATTGCATCGCATACAGGGTCCAAATTGATGTGAACGTGCTGCAAACGCGGTAACAGGCGTCGCAGATCCTCGCACAGATGCGTGGGGTCTGGGTCGGGGTTGCTACCATTTATGTCTCCCACCGCAAGTTCCAGACTAATGCAACTTTCAGGAAGGCTTTTGAGTAAGGATGAAATGGTTGATCTCGTAGTCTTGTAGAGTTGAGCTTCTGACCAGGGCTTGAGAGGGTTTCTCATAGTTCGATGATGTCGTATAAGGGAGAATGACTTGAGATTAGCCATAGACGGGATAACATTTGCCAATTGCGGGATTAGTAGTTCCGCTTTGTCCCATTTGGCTTTGTCCAGTCGATCTGACTGATCGTCATGGTTGAGGTACAGGGTAAAAGACTGTGTTGGGGTGAGAGCTTGCTGATTGTGGCATGCTATGAAGCGATCTAGCGATTGGCCACAGGACAATACCAAGTCGCGATAAAGTATTGGCAGGGAAGTATCTCGCCACAGTTGATTAACCGACAAGCAAGAGATAACAGCATCCCTGGAGTCATTACCAGCATAATTGATCACCTTGTCGAGGACTTCGGTGGGGAGAGCGCTAATTTTGACAGCCATAGGAAAAGAAAAGAGCATGCGCACGGATGTGGATGGAAGCGAGGGTTAGGATAAAAGGATAAGCAGGAAGTCCAAAGTCCGTTCGGGCCGGGACCAGTAAGCATCTTAAATAGACATCATGCGCCACCTTGGCACTGTGGGGAACAGGGAAAGAATTTCTAAACCGTATCCGATTTGTATTACGGCGGCGATTTGAGAGTCGATAACCGTTTGTTATTTATGATATAAAGAACGTTTAAGAAAAGGAGTATAAAACTCTGATGTATTGAGAATATAGACTTTAATAAATGAAGATTATGCTCGAGAAATTTCCACCACGGCTCTATATGTAGTTTCTATGTAATCTCTATATAAAGATTTGCTTCGTTAACGATGCAGCAGGGATAGAGGGGACAATATTATCTCCTAAGTATACTTTCCGAATTCTGGTTGACTAATTGTAGAAAATATCATACTAGAAACATATCATATTAGGAAATGTTATTAATTTACCATCCTAGATATTTACCACAATAATACTTATCGTCTCTGCAGTAGCTGGCAGCTAAGCAGCAGTCGCCGAATTTAGAGCCTTTGCATATAAAGCCGCTATTGTAGGCGTAATCCCTATTTGTAGAGATGGAGAGCGGCGGCTTTGTTGCTGATGGTTTCGCTGTTATGGATGAAGTTGTTACTGCACTGCCTGAATAGTTGCCGTCTTGACAGTTGTCACCATAGAATTCCTTACCGGAGCCACACCTATTAAGTTAGATCAGCACCTAAATAAGAACGGGGAACATCAACTTACTTTCCCTCGAGGCCACAGCAGTCGCCGAAGTCACTTCTGATGCACGTCTTGGAGAAGTTGAAAGCTTGAAGTAAACGCATGTTAATATGGTTAGAAATGAAACTTCTGGAGGCCCATACTAACCAACACAATAGGTCTCCCCAGGCACGAAACCATCACATGCATCCCCGATGGTGGGGTTCGCAAGCATGGATTCTTTCAGCGTCAGTTGGAATTGGGCAAGGACATCATCGCATCCCGTCCAAACGTCGGTCTTGAACTTCTGGCGACAATCCACTGCTTTATCATTCGGTAGGTGGGTGTCAACAGAACGGTGCAAAAAGTGTGAAAGGTCAAGGCTTCCCGTGACAGATAAATAAGTTGCGTATTGGGCGACGAGAAGAAAACCGGCCAGGTGTGTTGCAAGCTCCATGGCACAATCGAGGCAGGAACTCACCTTGAGACTGAAGTCACTTTTTTTGAAAACTACGTTCCTTAGCCGTCGTATGATAGGAGCATGATTGATAAGTAGAAAAATAAGAGAGACATGTCCCGTCTTAAGCCATGCAATATTATCTCACGACCTTTTTGATCAGCTTACACTGTTGATTATGGTCTCGGAATAGAGATCAAAATATTTCTTCTCTTTGCTAGCCCAGGCTTGCTGTTGTCGCTTTCACTATCATTGGTTCAAGCACAAGTATCCGTCGTCAACGGTGTCTCTGTCTATAATGGGACTACAGTTTCGCAGAATCAACATGGAATACTCACCTTGGCATACAATTGCGCCAAGGTGCCAGCATTATGCGAAAATGTTCACCAACAATACCCTCTAGCAACCACCGTTCATGCAGCACCTGCCGGAGCTGTCACAGGCCATCATACTATCCTGGGCGCCAGGTCACATCTGCAGTTGCATTTTGATAGGAACGATAACATAGGTGGGCAAAGAGGCAAGGCTTGTGCAAAAAACTGGAAAAACCACCACAACTGTCCAGAGTCTAACCAGCCAGAGTAAGTCCTTCTTCAAGCCACGAGTGAGAATAAGTCTCATTAATGATCAATAGCACTGTCCCTGCTGGAGCTATGTTGGGAGACAGCTCTTTTCCGGCTGCCAGATGGAACCCGAATGATCTCGTCATGGGCGACGCAGGTTATAACAGAATCGCCAATGCAGCAGGCCAGTTTTCAGGTATGATGTGGACTTGCGATGAGTTTCCCTTCGCCACGTATGAGACCCCCTACCAAAAGCCATACCATGAGTCTGAAAATGAAAAATTCGCCTCTGCAGTTCTGTTGAAGAAGGTGCCGGAGCGAGAACATACTGCACCCCACAGAATGCAGCATGTGGTTCGTCGACAGGCATGATTCCTGGCACGGTCTTTATCTCATCTGAGCAGGACTTCCAGAGTAATGTTTTGTGTGCTTTGAGAGAAGCCGTACTACACAAGCGTGCGCCGCCGGCCACGAAAGCAACCACCAAGGGCATCTGGAGATATCATTTTAGAACGCAATTTCAGCCGGACACAGAGCTTGCCGCTGTGTCTGTCGAGTGGTATGACGACGCTAGTGAATGGTTTCCCGGATATCAAAAACGTTCAATCGAGGGACGTGATATTGAGGAGAGTATCGTCCGAAATTTTCATTCGTTTTACAACAACGGCACGGCGGAAGTGAGACATGAGCCCGTGTTCAAAGATGAGGTAAGTATTAAACCACTGTGTGATATAGTTATGGGAGATGGCTGATGATTCGATCTTATAGTACAAGATTCTGCGCAGGTCATGGGACCGACATCTTGTGGGAAACGGCTCGGCAGTGGACCTTGAGCAAGGTAACCCGAAGCGGTCGATGGGACACATGCAGAGCCATGACAACGACAACGGTACCGTGGGACTTAGTGCCGACTGGCTGAATGCTTCAGGGAACGGCTTTCTCGTGGTTTTATCAAGCCATAGCACTTATTAATACACAACTATTCCTATTTACCCTACGTGGTTCTATACAAATTAGGGTTAGGGTTACAAGGCCTTCCTTTAACAATTAATACTAGGCTATAATAACTATATTGGAATTCTTTGCTTTTGCATTCTCCATAGCATAACAAGCTTCACTACCTGCTTAAGCAGCTGCAGGTTGCACGTCGGTGGTTGTGTAAGTCGCACACTGGGCTCCGCTGGTGTCGACCGTCATCTGTGCCAAATCATCATGACCGCTCGCGCAAGCACCGCCCGACGCTACCAACTGGCCATTCTGGAAGGTGACTGGCTCGACTCCCTGGGCGTTGCAGTCCTCAGCCCGGAAATGGGTCCCATTGAATCCGATACATGCCTGAACGTCCACAAGATCAGGTCTGAAGCCCGCGGTGAAGGTTCGTTGGACTTGAAGTGCGCTCTGCCCGTTGACCGTTGAGGGAGTAACTTGACGGTCTGCAGCGGTATTGACGCAAGCTGCATCAACGATTTCGCCGTTGTTTCGGAACGTAAGGCACTCGTTGCCAGGGACTCCGTTGACTTCGGTAAACACTACCGTCTGGCCGTCCGCCGTAGCCGCATCACCGCCGCCAGTTGCGTCACCAGCTCCTTGACCACCATCATTCCCTTGCCCGCCATCACTTCCCTGACCATCGTTGTTTCCGCCATTGGCACCATTACCCTCCCCGTTCCCATTGTCCTGGTTAGCACCACCTTGTGGATTATCTTGCGGAAGGTTGCCGTTATTTGCCCCATTTCCAGCACCTTGATTGGCACCGTTGTTGACATCATTTTGTGGAATGTCGCCATTGATGATATCGCCATTTGTAAAACTGGGCGGTCCACGAAAAAACCCGCCAAACTGCCGAGGCTGTATGGAAAGGGCACAAGCCGCAGCTGAGAGAGAAATAAGAGATAGAAACTTCATTGTGTTTGTTTTGAAACGTCGACAGGGGTTGGCTGAGAAGTGTAGAAATGTATTAGTGGTCCTGCCACAAGAAAAGAAGCGAATAAAGAGAATGGAAGACGACTTGCGTGCAGATAATTCAATCGAGAAACAGGAAATCTTCCCCATTACTTATAGTATTTTTGGTTATTATTAAAAAATATATCTTGTCGGTTCCGCGTATTGCAGGCGCTTCTTGTACTTAAGCGCGCATAGTGATACAGTTTCATCCCTTTTGCGCAGGGTTTGAAACAGACCCTGTAACAGAACAGTATCATCAATACCATTTGTAACCAAAGAAGCCCTGGCAATCTTGGCAAGGTAGCTGAGTTTGCCCTATGCCCTTGGTAAGTTTACTTAATTAAGACGAATTAGAACCCGTTAACAATGCGCTTCATCTCGTCTATAAACAATAGTTAGGGTTAAGATCTTTGAAACAGCTTAGTAGAGTTTCAATCGTTTTAATAATTAGTGGTTTCATCTATATATCTATATTTCATTTAGCCATCTTTGTACCTCTTATTAATATTTATTAAAGAGTAGTTGGCGTTGTGAGGGGCGCGATTGAAGAGGGAGTCAAGAGTATGCTGTTGATTAAGGTAGACTAAGACTACAGGATCCGGATGTAACACGTTCAACGATGCCATAATACCAAGCAGCTAAGCGGGAAATGGATTAAATAAAACCGTAACTATTATTTGCCCATATCATGGAAACAGATGCTAGAAATATATTTATTTTAGTTTTAAAATGCACTCGTGGTGCTTATTTGCAATTCAAAGACTATGTTTAGAAAGAGAACAATTACGAAAAGTATAACCTCGAAGGAGCTTCTAATAATTGGCACGCGAACAACTCGATTATTATAGCATCTAAAGAGAAGGGAAAGGTTCAACCGAGCATGAATGCAGTACAAACTCGAGGAGAGTAAGTTAGCCTTTTGTTATTACTCGATAGTAAGTCCGAGCCACTGAACCGAAAGCTACCTAGCTTCTGGGCTAAATATAGTGATACACCGTGTACTATGCCGATCTAGACAAGCTCAATACCGGGTACACTAACAATTTCCCCGCAGACAGGGAGTCGTCAGGTTAACCCATACAAAACAGTAGCCAGATTTGTCCCATCACCTTGAATCTCCATCAGCAACTCGACCATCACATCAGCAGCGCAGCGTCGTTCGGGATGCGCATCGACGCGATTCCCGCGTGGATCTATTCTGTTGATCCTTCGAGTCAATTTATTGACACTCACGAGCAAATCACATCTTTGAAAACAGCCAAGAGGAGGTTCAGCGGCTATGCGATAGAGAGCCCTTCAAAACGAAAGCGCAGGGAACAACCCGAAGCAGAAGCACCCTTCAACGCTGACAAAACACCACAATCATCAACTACTCGCCCGCCGAGCTCTATCTTCGATCATCCGCCGCTGTCATTCGATGTAACTGGCTCTACCATCAACTCATTCCCTCGCACTCTTGCCGCCCGTCTGCATTTACCAAAGTCGATATCATCAACATCCCAACGAAGTCCCTCACCATGATCTGATATGTTTCGTGGTACATCAGCTCTTGCTTAGACCGCCACTCACAGACTCATCGCAATCCGAGTGTCAACAATCCAGGCCTGGCGAATGATCTGATCAATTTGGATAAGACTGTGCCCCTCGCTGAGACCAAAAGAAGTCAGGCAAAGCCGACATTCCAGCGTTTTCAGTAGGCAAGGCTCCCTTGGAACACGCTTTCTTGCCAGTTATGACCCTCAGCCTACTTACTCTCTCTTGCGCCAGGTTCATCAAGAGTCAAGCCAATTTGAACAGGGCGACTGCCATCTGGCCAGTCTGTTCAATTTGTGTTAGATCAGCACCACGAGTTGCGGTAATGTTCACGGAGTAGCGTGTTGTTGGTTTTATTGTTACATTATTCAGCTTCATACCTGTGGTTCACAACTCGTCTCGCCTCAGCCTGTCCGCGATCTTATGCCTTGTATTTTTATCTGTTACTTATGAATAATAAAGGAATCTTCAGTTCGACTTTCCACTTGTGCCGAGAAACTTTGTTCTAAGCGACCGTGGAAGCCGAACTCCAATCCTATAAGAGGTTGTACTATATCATTTAATGGTATGGTTAAGCCGGACCTTAACTTCGAGTCCTGTGACCCTGAACTTTCTGAGGAGGCGTCTGATTTTAAACCAGCGAAGTAGTCAACCGTCATCATCTATTGAGGGCTTAGTAACTACGGATATCACAAGGATTAAAAGATCATCAGTGAAAAAGCTTTTATCCGAACTCTTGAATCTCCTATAGGTGTTTATAAACTATAAATACTCTTAGAAGGTCTTTTTAAAACCACCACGGCAGCTGAGAAACTAAGTATCCTTGCCTAAGGTGAAGCAGTATTTTCAGATCTGGCTCGTTGGTGATGCGAGTCTTGAGGGGGCGAAATAGACTTCTGTTATGCCTCTTTCGCTCTAATCTTGACTAGTTTTCTCCGTCTTCCTTTGGATTTTATTCCATGCTGACTAGAGATATTGATGATAGTAATGAACTTTTAAGCATTGTAGAGCCACGGTAAGATGGTGCCGAGGTTGATAAAGTTAACTAGATGATGTCTATTAAATCGCGCCTAATTCTAAATGATGGCATCCCAAGATATACATGGCCATTGCTCTTTATGATTTGGTTGACGGAAATGTTGGTCATTGAGTCCGTCGTGGACGAGATCTCGGTCGTTTTGATGAGAGCTTCAAGACCATGCTTCGAGGACGTCACTTAACGCTTACTGCCAAGATTTCTTTAATGAAAAGCGCGAGTGAGATGGATCGTTTGTAAAATGACCGACGACTCAGCCTCGGTGATTGTAGCTCATGCCCCGCTGACGTGCTTGGTCCGATGCCTTTAGACGCTCACGATGTACTGCGGCGTTACTGACGATGGAAATGGTTTTGACAGATGATTAAATGTGAGCCGATGCATTATGCTGATACTCGACTAACTCGGGTTGATCAAATGATACATCACTGAAAAGCATTATGTATGTCACATAGGCTTGACTGTTTATCATGACTGGCGTGTTTTGTAGCCTCGAGCCGCACGAGGAGATTGAATGGAGGATCTCGTGTTAGTATATCCATATTGTACCTGCAAAGCCTTGATTCGAGTCCGTAAACCAGCAAGATCTGGACGCGTATTCCTTTCTTAATTGACCAGGGAGCGACTTCGCTCAGATCGGCTTTAACCTTTCTCCGCAACCGATTAATTATCTTATCACTTATCTAATCCCAGGCCTACCCTATTGGCCCAGAGAAAATTCAGCTAACCTGGAATATATAGACTTATAGTTTATCTCAATTATATTTACTTCCTCTAACAATTCTATATCTTAGCAGCATAGAATATTACTGCTCCTACTATTGCGCGGCGTAAATTATATATAAAGAGAGTGTGATTTCTGGTGACGCATCTCTAGCGGATCAAAGTTGTTAGCACAGGCTCAGTGCTTTTCTAAGGTAACATGAATGATGCAAAAAAAGGGATCCATAGGCTTAGCCCCTATGCCAAAAGGTATGCCCTGCCTAGGTTATTAGGATACAGGGGTTCTAAGCACTATAACACGTATCAGTGAATGGCAGGATATCTTGAGGAGCACTTTTGTTTTTCTCTCATTGTCTTAAAATGGTCGGCAAAGGATTATGGTTCCTGTTCCGCCCTTTCTCTTGTCTTGATGCGGTTGATTCAAGTGAGGCGACAGATCGACATCATATTGCCTTTAATCATTCGATATATGCACAAGAGTTCCCTTTTAATATATTTGCATTATACTCATATATGGGAGAAGGAATATGTATCTATATATGCAGTCTTTGAGCTTCAACGCCTTCAACAGTAAAGTGGTGGGTTTAATTGATAGGCTGCTCACAGCGCAACATGTTCCCTACTCTGCACTGGGACTAGTCTGACCTGGTGGTAGCTTCTCTAACCATTATCTTATCTTATCTGAATCTTCCCCGCAACTGCCCCGTGAGAAATGGAACACTCAAGACCTGATACTCATACGTAGACCAACTGTTCAGAGATTTTGATCTCCAACAACCCAAAGGCCTCAAATCTCATAACGATAATCTTGGGCTTTGTCAGCATCGCCTCCCATGTCAATGGGCACACCTGCTTCAGGTCTACCGAAACGCCTGTCGCGGTGGCGGTTCTCCCTGTAAAGCATCACACTCATAATGACAGCGCTCAAGGCTGTCAGGAACACGAGGGAACTTGAAACTGCATTCCCCATGAGATAATATGGCGCGTCAGTTTTAGGATAAATGTTGGACGCGGCAACACCGACAGCGTGAGTGACAGCAATGACAATACCAAGGCCGACGCCTGCCTTTGTGTCTCCGGCAAAGGTTGAAGTGATCCAGGTAAGGACGATAGGGAAGGCCATGTATGTTCCCTAGGATGAGGCGGTAAGTCAGCGACTTGGAAGAGTTCCCAACGGGCAAAGGGACGCACGTACTGTGACTGCGAGAAAACATGTCACATATCGTGCCAAGTCATCTTTCAAAAGACCGAGACAGATATATCCAGTGCCAGCGATCAAGCCCCCGATAGAGATAGGGATACCTCTGGCCCGAAACCTGTCAGATAGGGTGGCCGTCACAAGTAAAGTGACATAAGCAACGGCATAAATAGGAGCTGTCATGAGATTCGCCTGCACAGAGTGGTAACCCAAGTCTTTGACAATTGTAGGCAGGAAAACAGCAGCTACGGCGAGGGACAAGGAAAGACCGGAATACATGACGCAAAAAAGGTAAAGACGGTAATCGAGAAAAGCTCTGCCAGAAGCCTTGTTAGTGATTGGAATGTCAGTTGGAAAAGAAAAGAGGATAGGCCTACGCTTTCACTTGAGCTTTGCTAATGCCTTCATCAGCGTTCCTGGTGAACCTGCTCCTTCGGTTCAAAATAATTTGATGCTCCTCGTCCGTGAACCAAAAGGATTTGCCAGACTCTGGTCGGCCAGGAAGCATCCAGAAAGTAGCAGCGCCCACAGCAATTGTTGGAAGACCCTCGACAAGGAACAGGCCCTGCCAGGAGGTAACAGCCATGTTCTTGGCAAGACCCATGGAGTAGGCAACTACACCCGAGATGACACCGCTCAAGGCGCTCATCCCCGCATAGGCCGCGATGCGCAGAGATAGTTCAGACTTGAGGTACCAGAAGCTGAGGTACAGGGCACATCCAGGGGCGAAGGATGCCTCGAAGACACCAAGGAAGAAACGCACCGCGATAAGTCCTCCGGGATTGACACACGCAGCCTGTAGGGTGCTGACAGCGCCCCAGCCCACGGCACAGATACCTAGCCACGTAGAAGGCTTCACGACCTTCAGCATCAGAGCACCGATCGTACCGAATACGACGGTGCCAATGTAGAAAGAAGCCGAAGCAATCTGATACTGGACGCTGGAGAGGCCGATATCCTCTTCGAGGCCAATATTGCGGGCGTTACCCATGTTACTTCTGTCGATATAGGAGAGAAGGTAGAGGAGCATGATCCAAGGAAGGATGGTCCTGTCGAGCTTTCTGACAAGTCGTTTCTCATCCGCTGGGCTGAAGGGCAATGCGGTCTCGGTGATTGCTTTTGGGGCTTCCGTGTTGTTCTCGAGGTGGAGACATGGCTGCTGTTTCTCGGGGGCCGACATGATATGCACGTGTCTTTACTTGAATGGAGAAGAGGTTTGAGAGCAGTTAGGCAATAGTGAGATTGAGCGAGATATAACATCGTTTATGTAGTGATGAGAGATTGGCCTTATACCCATGTTGGAAGTGGTGGCGGGTGAAATCCGCTGGATACAATGAAAAAACAAATGGGGGACCAATATATGCTCATTAACAACCCGGCTTCTAGAATAAGTTTCCCCGCGGGGCCCCGGAATCGTGGGGAAGCGGAGCACACCGCCCCAAGACTGGAGGCGGAGAGTCTCCGTACTCAATCTCCACACACGAGCCCGTGCGGCATTTGCCCATCCTCATGATCTAGCGGGTGCGTATGTACGGCAAAGTCCCGCTCTCGACTTTTGTAAACCTAATGGCCTATGTAACTATGCGTTTGCCACTTATATGCACGAGCTACCCACTTCAGAAAGTCTGCACCTGCGCATCAATCAATCATCCTGCGAGATGAATTGGTTCGCCCCCCCTCCCGTCTTGGAGCCAACGCTCCTGACCACGCTTCCATCCAAATTCCGCCTTGTTGGTGTATCAGAGCACTCGACGAACCAAAAGCGTGGCCGACCGCTCGATAGCTTCCTCGAAGGTCCAGTTGTCAGAGGAAACACCTTGTATCTGACCGACATCCCTTACGGCCGAATATTCGCCGTCAATCTCACCACAAAAGAATGGGATCTTGTGATCCAATACGACGGCGAGCCCAACGGCCTAGCATGGCATGAACAACGACATCAACTCCTCATTGCCGATTTCAAACAGGGCATCCTTGCTCTTGATCTCCAAACCAAGACCATAACCACTGTGATGGATCGCTTCAACGGCGAGCGACTCAAGGGCCCCAACGACCTGATAGTCGGCCGCGACGGCGGCATAATCTTTACAGATCAGGGCATGAGCGGCCTTCAAGACCCGACGGGGCGTGTATACCGCATCAGCTCCAGCTTCAATACGGGCAGTGGCGATAATCGTGTCGAGGTGCTGCTTCGCAACTGCCCTTCACCCAATGGTCTAGTTCTTGACAAAGATGAAAAGAACCTCTTCGTCGCCATGACGAGGGACAATAGTGTTTGGCTTGCGCCGCTGTACCCTGATGGCAGTGCGCAGCGGACAGGGAGGTTTTCGAGCTACTTTGGTGTTGGTGGACCAGATGGGTTGTTAACGAATGGTGAGGGTGATCTTTTTGTTGCGCATTCTACGCTGGGCACTGTCTTTGTGCACCGGAAGGATGGCACGCCGCGAGCGGCTATTACGACAAAGGGATTTGGTTCGGGCACGACCAACTTGACTTGGGGAGGAGGGGATGGGAAGACTCTTTATATCGTCGAAAGTGAATCTGGCACAATTCTGACGTTGGATTGGTATAATGTAGTAACTATGTAATAATTCTTGATAGAATAATGGGAATCTCTCAGAAATTTACCTCTATATGACAGGCTGAGCACAATACCTGAACACGTACTAATGACCCAAGATGGATAGAATTAACACCTCCATAAGAGCCCTAAATAAGAATCATATTATATATGGCCACGATATAGGTTTTAACGTAAAACCAGCAACAGGAATCCACAATGATGCGCGCTCTTCCAGATACATGAACAGGATTCCATTGAGCTTCCACGTACATCGCCCAAGACCCCGACGGGTTTCCTCCGCTAAATGGGAACTGTTAAACTTCGCTGATGCCGTTGTAAAGCCCAGAGCGGAGATCACCCGGTGAGCATAATGCAACCTTCTAAGCCTGTCGAAAATTGGTGACCAATGAGGTTTGCTAACACATGCGCGATTCTAGCTGTGATAAATGATACGCCCAATATGTTGATTCAAGTCTGCAGTCCTAATGCTTGTAGTCACGATGACAGTAATCCACATATAGACAACTAATCTCCGCAGCCATCGATCGAACTGATATAGCCCAGCGCATTCAGCATTCAATTCCTGGCTATATATAATACTTAGGCTATTAATACAGCTAAACAGCCTGAACTTGCACTAAAAGTTTCAGGTTGGAGGAGACTGTCGCCCGCTCCTATCCAAGCCTAATAAGGGGGGTAAATTTTAAGCAGGATCCTTAGATTCTTACCTGATCTTAACGGCTTCCTCTCGGCCAGGTTATATATATCTAACCTTGCGGCACTGATATATAGTTAATGCCTTCTATTCCTCGAGTATGCCCTACCTGCGCAAGGATATCCTTTGCTTAGGATCTTAAGACGCCCTGGTGTACCAATTACCACTGGTAATAGGCCTAATACTAACTTTTGCGGCCCATCTACCTGGTGTAGATTATGTGAATTGTGGAGACACGGTAAGCAGATAAAGACAGTGGGTATGGTTAGGAGTCTCAAGAAACCCACATGGGATATCTCACAATTGCAAATTGACTATTGCATGCAGGAAATTTCCACGCACCCAGCCATTAGTGGACTCCGAAGCTCAAGACATATACTGTGAATGAATGTGAACCTTGCTACTTGGTCAACACTTATAGTAATTGTCGCAGCGGTCATCATAACGTTCTTTTGAGTCTTCTTGGTGTACCCAAGAGTGAAGGCTATGCTATCTTGGCTTTGTACCAATCAGCCTCTTTTACGCAGGACCGATCGTAATTCTCAGACGGCATATGGGCCGAGTATACATCAAGAACGATCGACGACTTGTAAAGTGTTTAACTGAGAAGTTGCTTGTAACATCGTGAGGCGACTGGCGGAAGAACAGCACGAGCACTGTTGTCGAACACCAGATCAAGCCATTGCAAAGGATTAGAATCAATAGCCTGATGCTCCGAAATCAGACTATACACGGGTTTCAAATAGACTGACTCTTGTTTATAGATGAATCATGGGAAGCCAAGCCATTTCCGGTGTAAGCCTGCGAGAGACTTTGCACGATACGGGACTACAAAAAGGTCTCCAAGAGCCATTACGACGACCAGTCGTTGCGTTCATACTCAGCGGATTCGCGTACCAGATCATCGTTTCTGCGTCTGCACCAATCCTCGTGCTATGGTAAAGAAGTAGCACAGAGATTTAGGTGGGTGCTCAATGCCAGAGCTGAGCTTCACAACAAGACCGCCCTCTTTATCTCGTTCTTCAGCTCAACGAGCTCCTGAGAGCATCAGAGCATACTAATTATACACTGTAAGTCTTGCGGAGACAGAGCCTTCGTCTCAAAAACAACTACTCGTGCCATCATCACCACCTTCTTTGTCCCTTGTAACGTCGAGCTTGATTGCAGTACTCTCCCGGGCTTCTTCTCGAGACTAAGGATCTTTGCAGGAACTATACATAGAAGAGTCTTCTGAGATAATTTCCTTCCTGTTTCATGTCCCAATCTCTCGTCGTGCTGAGCCTCATGGACTTCTTCTACAAGCGCATTTACCAAAGACGCTGCCAGTTCTGGCAGTATGTTATGCCATAGAGTCTCATAAATGCCGCAGTTACCGACTACTTCATCTATGGCGGCTTTAATAATACAAAGAAACATCAGGTCATCTAAGTAGGATCCCAGTGCGACAATATTTTTACCTATCGTAAAAAAATGCAAAGATGGTTGGTTCTTTAACACTTATAAATATCGATCTAGTATGCGATGGACCTCGAGAATATTCTTAAGGCCTTTTAGATAAGAAAGTAATCACCGGTTCTGTCAGTATGGCGATTATGCAGCCCAGAACATCTAAGCATATCAGAAGACTGTTGCTTTCCCAAACTCCTCCCAGGGTGACCGACTCTGGTCCCACGTATGCTCTGCCTCGAGGTTGAAAACAACCACGCCTTGAGGGCCGTTCGTCATCCAAGACCAACCAGATGACATCTTCCTTATACTCTACTATACCTTGGTCTCTGTTCGGCCGCCTGTAAATGGCATTGGCTTCAAGCAATTACCTTGAAAGATATGGACCTAGCACATGGTATTCCGAGCGACAGATGAAAACAGCTTACCGAGCAGTGCGGATGCATCGGTAATTGAGAAGGTAAGCAAACAATGTAGAGCTGGTGGGTTAGGGAACCTGTTATTGACGAGCCAGGAGAGGCATGGGTTGGTTGAGATTGAGGAGTCGATAAAGCCTCCATAGGGGACTCAGGCTGAAACTCTCTGGAGCTGTTTACCGCGTCACGATAGCAGAGTAAGCAGACCTGCAAGTTGGGCTCCAATTACCCCGGGTTGCATGTGCCCATCTCAGCAACATCGAGTTTTATTCGGATACTTGAGTCGCGCCGTTAATTGAAGTTTCGATAATACATCGGACACGAATGTTGACGGTGCCTTTATAGGTGAACTTCGAATTACTTGTAGAGAAAGACATTAGTGGAGCTATTTCTTACAACATAGACACTCAGACATCGAAGAGATACTAATATGAAGGAGGGTAGATGACACAGATGCACCAGCAGTATTTCTTGCTGAACACGGCAAAACACCAACATCAACACAGTACCCAGCTAACAAAAGGTACGCTTCAGCATGAATGAAGTCTCTCATTGGTATGGAAATCGAGCTACGAAAATGTTAGTGACGTAGCAGGGGAAACAATCCTAAGCAAAGTCACTACGACCGATGTGACGTGGAGAAATTGCTAAGGCTTTCTATGACGTTCAATTCCACTGAGATGGTCAAGATACGGTCGAGGTCACAAATGAGGATGACGACCAGCATTTCTGTGTGAGCGAAGGCAAGACAGCATGCGTGACAGAATGACCAAGGTCAACGTATCAGGTGACTGTGGACACAGCATAGCATTCTAACGTGTTAGGCCTGGGCCCACGGCTCTGAAACGGAGACGACTACAGCTGTGTGTAGTCCCTGCCATGAAACTGACCGGGATATCTTGGTACACAAGTTTGAGCCAACAAATGCTTTTCACTTTGAAGCCCATCACTTGTTTGATACTGACCGACATTATATAGACATCACAACAAGACCACTCCATTTACGATGTGATATTGCATCTGCAGTTTCAAGCATCTGAGAATGTTGCGGCCGAGTTGTCGTAGTTGGGAATAGCAGGATCATGAATCAAGTTCTTCTCCATCGTGAAACGGTTTGGTACCTCAGTCACCTTGCATTTATCGACTCGATAGGATCGAAATTGAGCAGGGGCATTAGGCAATTACTTAGTGGTGAAATAAGTTGGGTTCCCGTCGTTGCTGATCATCGCGGTTAAGACTAAGAAATTTATAAGGAGGAATGGGCGGATACCTTGAACATGAAGAAGTACATGTTTGAGGTTTAGGCAAATAAAAGTCGTCGCAAATGAGTCAGGCCAGATGTGAGGCTCTGGTAAGACCAAGGCCTCTATTGTGAGGGAGATGGCAGAGGCTAAGCTTTACGCGGTTTACTCATGAAGACTTTTGACGAGATCCGAAGCTGGCCACTTAGCAAAAGAGTGGCTGAAGCTCTGAGGGATCGTAGCCGTGCTGACTACCAGGGATGTCTAGCCTCAGATCATCGCGGGGCAGGTCCCAAACTTTACTTGATGTTGGTTATAAGGTATTGTAGCAGCTAATCACGGCAGGCCAGAACGTTTTGTGTGAGTTATGCGGACCAATACTCAACTAACGAGTCGCCATCAAATGATTTGAAGATTTAACCCTGCTTCGTTCCCCCAAGCCCTGGTCTGATGTTTCTGATGAAATGTCTTTTTTGACTGTCAACGACAACATGAGGAGATCTACGGTTCTGCTAATGGTATTAGGTCACGCGTACCATGCACACATGAGAAGATGTGCTCAGCCTCATCAACCCCGCATCACCGTCAGTGCGTGAATTCCATTATCAATCAATTCACAAGCGAATGAAAGAACCAGATCCGATGGCAGAAGTACTAGGAATCGCGGCTAGTGTCATCGCCGTGGTTGATCTTTTGGCCAAGGTGGTTTCTTTATGTTCACAGTACTTGGATCAGGTAAATGCAAAAGACGATATCGAACAGCTCTGCGAGTCGATTGTCGCGCTTGAGACGACCACCAAAAAAAATTGACTTACATTCTAGGACACGATTGCAAAGCACGAGGTTCCGGAACTCGTCCGGCTTTTGGCAGCCCATGCCATCGCCCTGCAAGGCTTCTCGGTCAACTCTACACTCAGCAACTCTGACCTGCACTACCAAGTCTACCCATCTCAGTCACCGTTTGGAACTTCTCTCCAAGGCATGGTGCAGGCCATGGAGCTTACAATGTCACGCTTTGCAGCCGGTGTCATTGCAATGGTAGCAAACGTCAATTCGGATATCGTGGTTGATAGACTCCCACCGACAAAGGGATCGAGTCTCAACGTTGACCACCGGGACTACGTCTGGCTTGTCCTGCTACCGTTGTCTCATTTCAGTTTCTGTTTAGTATGGTTGTTACTTTCATGGCTACAAAGGTGGTCATTCCTCCGGAAGGAGCTACGTCCATGGCAAAGGTGCTGCATGCTATGGCGGCTAGCGAGAGTTCCGGCGGGGCCGAGTGGATCTATCGAAGCCGGATGAATTCCGCTGATGGAATTTATGACTTGTATCTTGGAGGGCGTCCACGTGGTGAGCTGGATGGCAAAAGCATTTAAGCATGACACTGACAAGTTGACTGGGGTAAAAATAGTCTTTCTGTATTACAGACTATGGTAAGCTATACGATTTATGATTAAGCGTTAGATAGAGACATAGACTGCATTATCAGTTCGGAGTAATGGAGTATGTCGTGGACTTTTAAGGACTCTAGTTTATAGGTTTTCACTAATCAAGAGTACCCTCACAAACATGCAGATCTCACACAAAATGACCAGAAGATATCGCTGATGGTAATTTCCTAGGATGAACTCTGACGATTCATCACTTCGCCTTCAGCCCTACCCACCGGCAAAGGCGACTTGGGCAGCCCCCACGGCTTCATACACTAGATGTCATTGCTGTCTGAGAGTTCAGGGCTCAGACGTCAAAATGCATGAAAAGAGCACTAAACTACTTTGTATATACCGAATTCTTTGAACCCAACTCAGGTTCAAAGCATATGTAAGGTGAGTAGTAACATAAGGATTCGACATTTAGGGACTGAAATATATATGATGTTTAAGAAAGGTGATATCGCATTGCGATGGATGGCCTTTCAATCTGGTGAGCAGTTTGGTTCAGGAACAGCGTAAGTCCTCGCTGTATGAATTAGAGGCGCCTTTTCATGTTTTTGAATAGTCAGCAGTCAAGGAGAACTTTCTTTGCCTAGAATGAAATTACATATTCTGTAGTTAAATGGCCTAATGCCGAAGTAAAAGGGGAGGCGTTGAGCGAAGAATCCGGCGTTCGCTTACTGGCAATATAAGAGATTCTAGTGGTAAATAATATCTTGTCGATGAGGGAATATGTGTCCAATTATCGAAGGAGAAGAAGAAAAATACAAGGTCAACTAATTCAAGACAAAGCCGCCTAGAAGAAAGCAGGAACGTTGCTACCAATATTTCTACCCCAAGTCTACTTAAATAAACCTAGAGGGCACTCGGGGGTAAGCGGGAAAGTAGTTCCATCTTCCTGCCAGCCTCGAATTCACGAGAAGCGACTCCACAGGTATTGAAAAAACCAACCCTTAAGCCTCCCTGCTACCGTAAAAGATAACTTGGATAAAGATAGCGTTAATAAGCGAGGAAGATAGGAGGATAACACCTCAAGTGGCTATAAGAGCTACTTTCTAACAGATTTAAAGGAATCTAAAGATAATTATATAGATAATAAAGAAAGTAAATATAAATATAATAAAGCATTTAAGTAAGGCATAATTAATTATTAAGATAAAATAAATTATATAAGAGTTAGGCTAAATAAAAAAATACTATTATTAATAAAAGAGGTATTAAAACTACTATTTAGGCTAATTATAAAGTTTAATATTAAAAAGGTTATAAATAGTTATTTACTTTTACTCTATTAGTATATTTAAGTAGGATCCTTAGATTCTTACCTAATCTTAACAGCTTCCTCTTAGCCAGGTTATATATATTTAACCTTATATATAACAGTTGGTTTCTAACTGTGGATAAACTAAGCCGTGCTAAGTTTATTATTAGCAGATTATATAAGGCATAATACTAAGCTTATCAAAGTATTATATCTCTTAATAGTAAATTTAATATATATTAGGCTTAATTAATATAAAAAAGTTTTATTAATAGCTAGTAAGCTAAGTTTTATTTAGGTACTAATAAATATATATATATATTAGAAGTAGCCTTATAACTTAATAGAGAATATAAGTAATCTAAGGATTAGATTTACAGGGATTAGTTATAATTTATAGTAATCTAGTCTTAGAGTATTATAATCTAAGTAATTTAATAGAAGAGGATTATTACTAGGAAAAGTAATCCTATAGTAATTAGTAAAAATTATAGGGGCTATATAATATAGGCATAGGGGTTATAATATAATATCTCCTCTCTGTTAAGTCTTATCCTTAAGACCTATATATCTCCTTATTCTTATATTAGGCTTTAGTAAATACTAACTCTCTTCCTTAATTATTTTCCTAGTATATTTACTAATTATTATATTATAAAATCTTTTATTAAAATCTTATAAGACTTTAAAGTATATCTATTTAGCAGATTTAATTATAAAATTTAATTTTAATATTATACCTTATTTCTTCTATAAGGCCAAGGGCCTTTATTATAAAATAATTAAATATTCCTCTTATTATTTTAAATATACTTAATAAGGTTAATCCTATAATACTTCTAGTATTATAATTACTTATTATATATTCTTTTTTATTTATTACTAGGTTTTATTAATTATTCCTCTTAATTCCTTAATTAAATTATAAATCTAATTATCTAAAGTAGGCAGAAGAGGAGGCTAAGGAGAAGCTTCTTAAGGCTTAGTAAGAAGTAAATAAGGCTATTATAAGATTATCTTATATTTACTATATAAAGCATTTTTTGCAGAAGTAAGGAATTTAATTTATTATTAATAGTTTAAATTCCTCTGCTAATAATATTATTACTTAAAAGGAGGATATAATAGTCCTAGATATTTAATCTTTTAGTAATACTAATATTATTAACTAGAATATAGTTTTTAATTTTTTATTTTCTAAGGTTATTAATAAAAATTCTTTAGGAGTTGTTAGGCATTTATAAGGTATTTTAGAGGTTCCTATATATTTTTGCTTTTTAGGTAGTTTTTCTATTTAATTAGATATATTCTTTATTTATTAATTATATTTATTTTCTTAATTACCTCTGCTTTATAGACTTCTGGTCTTGTAATTTCTTATAGTTTATTACCTATTTTGACTTATATAGTATCTGCTACTAATTTAAATAATAAAATATAAAAGACTAAATAAAGCTTAACTCTCGGTAATAGGTCTAATTTATAGTTATTTTCTAAGATTTTCTATAATACTTTATAAGGTCTAATAAATTTATAATCTAATTTGTGAGTTAGTTAATTTATTTTAATGTTTTTTATAGCTAAGTAGATTATATCTCCCTTTAAAAAGGTTAATCCCTTTAACCGTTTTAGGTTATAGTAGTTTTTTATACATTTTCTAATAAATTTGAGTTTTATTTTTATTTCTTTATATAGATTTTTAAGGTTATTGCTTTTAAGTATAGTAGTTAAGTTAATTGTTTTTTCTTATTATATATTATAGTATATATTTGGTATAAATCCGAAGTTAATATAAGCTAGTATAAGCTTTATGCTTTTATTATATATAGTATTATATATAAGTTAGGCTATTAATAGCTTTTTAACCTAATTATTTTATTTATAGTTAATATAATACTATAAGTACTGCTTAAGTACTTAATTTATTTATTTAGTTTATTTATTAACTTATGGCCAAAATGCTATTATAAGTTAATAATTTAATCTAAGTTATGTTATAAGTAATTACTAAAAGGTTATTATAAATATAAGTCCTTTATCTAAAAGGATTTCTATAGGTAACCTATATATACTAATAATATATTAGTAAAAAATATAAGAAAGTTCTTTTATATTTATTACTTCTCTATAGGGTAAATAATAGGAAAATTTTATAAGTTAGTTTATAATAATTATAATATTATTATAGAAGATTCTAGTTAAGGGTTCTTCTAATAAGGGTAGTTTAGTTATAAAGTCTATTATAATTAAGTCCTAAGGTCATTATACTACTAATAATAATTATAACTATTTATATAATTTATGCCTCTAAGCTTTTATTCTTAAGTATAGGTTATATTATTTAATAATACCCTTTATGTCTTTTCTTTTAAACTTATATTCTTAGTCTTATAGTTATTTTAATATCTTAGTAACTCCTTAGTATCCCTGTAGGGGGTATAAATAAAATTTATAAAGGAAGTTATATTCCTTATCTAATAAGGGTTTTATTTTAGTTATCTTTATAATTATTTTAACTAATTAAGTAAACTAATATTCTCCTTTTAAGTTAATTTCTAAGAGTTATTTCTTAGTTTTAATAGTTCTTATATTAAAGTTGGGTTATTAACTAATAGTATTTATATATTTATTATTTATTCCTTTATAGTATATAATTATAAAATTAAACTTATATAGGTATTTGGCATAATATAGTTATTATTAGTTTAGTTCTTATATTATTATAAAATAAGTTATATTCTTATAATTAGTAAATACTTTTACTAAATACTTACTTCCTCTAAGGTAATATTTAAATTCCTTAAAGTAGTTAATAATAACTAGGAATCTTTTATTATAAATAGGATAATTAAGTTTTACTTTATATATCTTATAAGAGTAGAAAGTAATAGGGTATAATATATTATTATTATCTTATTATCCTATTTATCCTCCTAAGGTAAAGTTAGAAGTATTAGTTTTAAGTTTAACTTACTAATTAGGGTTAAATATAACTAAAATAGGTTTATCTATAATAGCTAATTTAAGCTATTTAAAAGCTTATTATGCCTTATTATTCTATTAGAATTATTTATCCTTTTTAATAATCTTAGTAAGAGAAATAGTAATTTTACTAAAACCTTTAATAAATTATTAGTAATAATTAGTAAATCCTAAGAAGGATTAGGTTTCTTTTATTAATATAAGTAGTTTCTATTTAATAATTATTATAATCTTTTATTTATTTATTTTAATTTTATTATATAAGATTTTATATCTTAAGTATATTACTTAAGACTAATAGAAGTAACTTTTTATAGGTTTAATAAGCATATTAGTATCTTATAATGCTTTAAGAACCTTATAGATGTATTTTATATGCTCTTCTTTTATATTAAAGAAGATAAGGATATTATCTAAGTAGTAGATTATAAAGATATTAAGGTGCTTTTAAAGTATATTTATAATTATATATTAAAATACTATAGGTATATTAGTTAATTTAAAAGGCATAACTAAGTATTTAAATAATTTATATTTTATTTAAAAGGCTATTTTCTATTTATTACCTTCTTTAATATAAATAAGATTATAAGCAGATTTAAAATTAAGGGCTATAAATTATTTCTTACTAAATAGGCAGTCCTTAAGTTTAATAATAAGTAATAATAGTGTTTTATCTTTCTCTATAATCTTATTAAGT